TGGCCGGTGCGGGTTGTGTGGCGGCACCTGTGCCCTCATCACTGCGCGGGCACGGCCGTTCGCACCCTCTGTTCCTCTGGTGGCCGCTGTTGGTGGTGGCACCTTGTGGTTACGTGGCTTTCCAAGCTGCTGTTTTTGACCAGGGTGATATATGGGGAGTCGCTCCGGGGGCATCGCCAGTCTCGCCAGGAAACGCCCCCTCGAAGCCCCCGGCAGAATCCGCTGCTTCGGCGCGTTGTTCACCGCAGAAGCCTTGTTCAGAGCAGTGAAGCCACTAAAAACACTTCCGTTTGCTTTGGTAGTTTGTTTCTTTCTGACACTTTAGACAGCAATCAAAATTTCCAGCTCTCTTCCCCCTACGCGCTGTACGTTTTCATTGTCAATGCAAACATTTGGAGCTTATTGAAAATTTAGTTCCACCACAAGCTGTTACTGGGGCAGGGGGTGAAAGAAGGGATATTATCTTGTCTCAGATTAAAAACCTTTCTGGGCTATAATATTAGCTTATCTTGAACCGGATAAATTCTTCATGATGTCACTGGATTCTTTCTTGTTTGGTCAAAGGTGGAGTAAGTGAACTTTGTGCCTAATTAAGCAAATTATCTTGATAGATAAGAAACTTCAGGAAGTAAAATAAAGTGAAAAAGTTATGTGATGCTAACAGAGTTAAGCCTATGCATTTTACATAGAATATTTAAAGTTTTATTACGGAGAGATAATATAATTTTGCTAATTCGTTTCACAAATTCTTATCACTAAAGGAGAGCGTTTGCCAACATTATGTTCTCAGTACAGAGTAAAATTCACTATCAGAAGTGATGGATGGTTTTGTACAGGTTATTGTTCAACACTGAATTATTGTCTGTAATTACTACGTTCTAAAAATCTCAAGACGGTTCCAGGAATGTTTTAAACTCTCAGTGCTTTTCAAAGATGATAAACCCTGATATATGACTGAGTATTGAATTATACATCATCTTTTTCATCTTGGAGAATAAGAACTGAGGCCTTTAGTTGCTGTTCAGTTTAAACTTAAAGAAACCCACTCAAAATTAGTTTTCACACAAGTGATATGCTCTTCAGTATACCAAAAAAAAAACCCAACATCTTATTATCTTCTCTTCCACACTGCCAGCTAAGGTAGTAAAGCCCAGTCTTTACCTTGAATTTCAGAGCTAAAGGTAACAAGAGCTTTGGATGTCCTGCAAGGGAGAGCCCTGTAACCAACACCAGCGTTTCGGGATTATTGCACTGACTCGATTGCCAGCGAGCCTGGCACTGGGTGGCTGTAGGTTCAAGGGCCCCAAAGAGTATCAGTATCCCTCGTAAATCACAAACGATGCCAGGCTCCAGTTTAGAGGGGGCTCTTCCAGGAAGCCATCTCTAAGATCCAAATGCAAGAAGGAGCATAGAGCGGGGAAGTAGCATTGCTTACCACAGTAAGCAATTGGATTGGATGAAGTTCTATAAAGGAGGACCCTTTTGACATAGGTGATTGTTAAATTCTCCGTTTAGTAAACTAGATAAGGACCAGTTAATATCTTTTATTTCTGTTAGATTTGTTTCTGAACACTCACATTACTATTACTACAAAAGTCATGGGTTTATTTCAGCAGAGATCAAGTAGCGAAAGTAATATTATTTCTAATCAGAGTCAAAGAAACATTCTTACAAAGCAAAATTTGGCCAGCATGCATCTCATAAACTAACACGTTCTATGACTTGACAGAATAAGTTGAGCACCAGATACTTCAGTTATTAGCATGGAGGAGTTTCTTTTAAAAAGCATTCTCAATCATGCCTTCTGTAACCTAGGCTATCTCATTTTCTTTGATCATCCATCACTTCAGTACGATCATGCACACTTGGAGTACACAACTCTCTTGCTGGAGTACTGATTAATTAGCATCATTCCCATGTTAACAGCATTGGTTTAGATTCTGGATTGCTTTAGATTCACGAGTAAGAAGCGCCAGGCGTCCTCGGCACTTCATCCCTTCAGTCTTCTCCCTCATCCTGTAATTGCTTACACCCATAGATACTCAGCCATCCATTGCTGCCATCCTGCAGCCCCCTCACCTTCTTCCATCCCTCATTGCTACTTTTGTTATGCAAATAGCAGGATTTCTCAATGCAGCGTTTGAGCCAAGCCAGTCTGAGCTCCCTCAGTTCCCACTGCCTGCCTTAGGCTGGGGCAGGTCCGGAGCCTCTCTGGCCCCGAGTGCTTCCCACTCCACTTCTCCCTATAACTGTTTTTTTCTTAGTCCCAGCCCTGCTCCATGACCTCTCCAACCATAGCCCTCACTGCCATTGCAGGCACCCATTCAGGTGTTCCCGAATTCCCAGGCGTTGTCAAATTCTACCATATCCAGATTACACGTGCACACCCAAGTCTGCCCCAGGATCAGGAAGATGCCACTGGCTGTGTGATTTGCTACCTCTGATACTGTTACTCCCTCTCTCCCTAGGGTAAGATGAGGTCTTGTTCTCAGTATGACACAGAGATACTTTGAAACCAGAGCAGCTGGTTTTCCTTGCTAGCGTAATCTCAATTTATGCTGCTCTCTGCTCAGATATGAGGGTTCTCCGAATAAAAAAGCTGTTCATGTTCTTGTCATGGCGTGAATATTGGCTTAGCACGTAATGAACTACTGCTTAGTAAAGGGTACGTAAGAGAGAGAGAGAGAGAGAAAGCAAGTTACTGAGAGAGTATATAGGAGAGAGGATGATTTTGTAGAGGGCTGCTGTGGAGCACAAAGGCACTAAAGTGATACCTAACAGGGACTGAAAATCTGTGTGTGTGTGTGTGCACGCGCGCGCGCATAAAGAAAAAAAGGGTGTTCTCTCTGGAATATTAAGCATGAGCAACGGCTTGTTTGTATCAAAGACCTCCCAGCAGGTAAGAACATTGACATAGCAAGCAGAGCTCTCTGTTTTGCAAAGCTTTGACTCCTTGAGTTGTCATTGCTATTAAGAAAAGCTCAGTTTTCATGAATGGAGTACCAGGATAAGCACTATAGGTCTTTAGGGCCATATGAGTGCTCCTTCACTGGATTTATGCTGTAATTCCTAAGGCACTCAAGGGATTAATAGTCAAATCAGTGTTGGCAATGCTGGTGTTGTAAATCTAATGATCCAGACTAAACTGGTGCCTGGGGAAGCCAGTCTCTTCCAACAGTTCCATGTCTTCATTTCCCAATTTATGTTTCAATATAATACCTGCAGGAGTGAGATCAGTGCATTAGTGTCTGTCCCAACAAAAACCTCTGAGGCAAGAGGAGGGCGTCTCATCAAATAAACATGAAAAAGAGTAGGAGAAGGAACAGAGAAACCAGAGAATATACAAGGTCAGATACTGTAGATAAGAAAGAAGGAGAACGCTCAGAGAAACGACAAAAGATGGGTGAAATGTAAATATAAAGCAAAATCAAAGTGGAACTATGCAAACCAAGATACGAACAAAATAATTATAATGCTTGTTTCTGAATGTGCAGTATCACCTGATGCTCATGTCTTAGAGCTGTGAAGTTTTTTTTTTTTTACTTCTTTAAGTGTATCAGCTTGGAAGTGTGATACACGTTTATAGTGATATAAACCCCTAATATATATTATTTTTACCATGATATAGGTGCCAACACTTGACATTTCTTATTCCATTAAATCTATGCATAGCTTTATTTTTGCTCTCTAAAAATTAGAGAAAAGTATCTGCAAATACAACAACTTATATTGGACCAATATAAGTGTCTACACTAGGTGGCCACATTGCTTTAACTGTATGCATTTTAAATTACAGCCCTGTGATCGAAAAAAAGGAGGGGGGCAGGCTAGGGAGCAGCAGTCTCCTGGGGAAATTTCAGTGAAATGGGAGCAATTATAGAAGGACTTTCAGAGAAGAGTCACAGAAAGCTAAAACTTGAGGTGCAGAGTAACCAAAGACGGTAAGTAAAGATACATGTATGACACAAGTAAAAGATCAGAGTTTTGAAGAACACGTGCATAATTAACAAACTGAAGCTGGAGATGAGCAGAAGTAAGTGATGTTAGCTGATGTGTATAAAAAGTGCCTGGGTTATAATCACTGTTATGCTGATTGTACTTGACACAAGAAATAAATACATGAAGTCTGTAGAGAGAATTTCTCAGCAAGCATTTGAGCTCTCAGGATCAATATATTTTGTTGCTCTTGACCAAATTATATTAGCAGCTGAATTTGGTCCCTAGAAACAACTGTAGTGGTGAAAATAATTTCCATTTAAAACCCTCTGATCCGATTTCCTTTAGCCAAATGTCAAGCCTCTACTATAATTTCCACCTCCTTATCCCACTGTTGTGATCAAGCAGTGCAGAGTCAGGCCTGTGTAAGTACTGCTGCTCTCCCGCTGTCTCCTGCCATCTCTGTCACTCCTCAGCTGCCTTTTCCCAATGTCCTGCCTACATCTCCTTTGAGCCTAGACTGGCAAGAGGCAGAGGTCAGCTATATGCCAACTTTTGTATAGTGCTTAAGCCGACCATAACCTGAATGCTTGGCTTCCTCATACCGCCTATTTGGAGGTACAGGAAGATAGGTGGCTCTGAAGGACCTGTGCTGGTGTGCAAAATTCCTTTGATGACGGTGTTGGATCTTTTGATGTGCTCCGCCTTGATGCTGTAGTCCACAAATGTTTCTTTTCAATATGTTTTTAGAAGTTTTCTGCTTTGCTTTATGAGGTGGTCTTTAAATCATTAACTATGATGAGGGTATTTTTCTCTCCCCCACCCTTCCCCGGCCAAAGAGTATTCTTTCTGGCCGAAGGTCTATGATTTCCTTAAAATTCTAGCTCCTTGTCATCTCAAATGGCAGTTATCACTTTGGTGGTGGAGAGGAGGGTTAGGGAACCTTTCATAAGCGTGAAGAAGAAAAGAAAATGCTTAGAAACATAATTCAAATGTAGGTCAGAAATCAGAAGGCAAATAATAACCCAAAATATGTTTGCAGAAAGTGTTAATGAGTTAAAAGTTGCCTAGATGGGGTTACTTCAATCGCATTAAAACCAAGCAAACAAACAAGCAAGGTTTTTTTTTTTTTTTGCAGTAATATTAGCATGAGGCCATGGTCTCGTAACTAATACTTGTTTCACTAGAGGGCAGCCCAAGATAAGGATTAGGATGACAAACTCACCTAGGCCAGATCCTGCTCCCCAAAAAGCCTCTCTCACTCCTTGCATTGCAGGTGCCCCTACGGAAGCCAACATAAAGCTGTATTTGGCTGCTTGTCTGCCATGGGCTTTTGAGTACTATCTACTGTGATCATTTGGTACGTATTTCTGTAGTGTTATTATTCAACTCTTTGTTTCAAGGATGCGGAAAAAGTGAAGTTAAAAATTATTTCTCCTTTTTGGAAGAATTTACCTATGTGTGGCTTCTTTTAGCATACAGCTGACATATACGAGCCTTTTTTACATCACAGGAAAAACATCTGTGGAAAGTGGATTTTGAAGGAATTGCCAGTTTTTAAACACTGATCTATTTTTAGATCAAAATAAGAAGCTGTATCCTTAGACTAGTGGAGCAGAACGATGCAGAATTGTAATTACTTAGCCCAAACAAGGCTAAAAAGGCAACATGTAGTCCCCAAACCAGCAGCGAGCAGTCAGTGAGCTGAGTCTCTGGTAGATCGCACTTGGTTTCCCTTGCATGCTGAGGAAATCACGTATGAGTCAAACACGCATCACGATGAGCGACACCACTGCTACTCTTTACCGGCTTGTATTTCCCAGTTACTACCAGCATTCTGCAGCCGTGAATTATTTCATTACAGTCTGTCTTTCCGTCATTAATTCTGCTGTTCTTTGAATCTCATTTAGATCTTACCTAATATTGGACTCTTAAAACATGATTAACATTGGCTTATATTGTGATAGGTGCATATGACGCAAAATGAGTATTAAATAAAACTGATGATAAACTAGAAGATAATAGTCGTAGTAATTATAGCAGATTGAACAGTTTAATGTTGTATTTCATTTAGTCTTGGTTAAACTACATAAAATTAACATAATTCATTAAAAATTAAAAATCAAATAAAAAGATTATTAGACTCAAAAAGCAATTATGATCGATTTTCATCAAAAAAAGTGTATAGACTTTTTTTCCAGAAAACAGTTGTCAAATTCTGCAAGCCTGTATGAAATGGTTTGGTTGCCTTGACTTTGTACTTTACCAGAGATAAGTTTTGGCTAAAAAAAAAAAATGTTGCTGCACTCTATTTGCGATAGAATGTGAGAGAAAAACGATTCCTTAAAGTACTTCATGGTACAATACTGCAGCTGGTTTTTTGCTGCAGTATTTGTGCATCCCCTATCAGCCAGGGCGGCTACTGTGCTCAGCGCTCCAGGGCCACAGACTGCTCGGGACAACAGACAACAAGCTCCTAAAAATAAAAGCGGCAGGTATGTTTTATGCAAACTCACCTACAACCCGAGAGAAGCAGCAGGAGACGGGCAGGTAGAAGCACTTCCCACGCTGGAACTGTGTTAGCTAAGCTGTGCATCACCGAACTATCTTTTGCTACATTTCCCTGAAATGGCTTTTGCACTGGGGGCTTGGGCAGGGCGGCGGCAGGGAGCCCTCCGGCTCGGTGGGCGCCTCCGTTCCCGCGGGGTGCTGG